AATTGACTTGCAGCTCATATACCAAAATTGTAAGCATACATTGAATTTATGAATGACGAGTAAACCGCCTACCATCTATCACATGCCCCATCTAAAATATTATCGCAATTGACTTGCAGCTCATATACCAAAATTGTAAGCATACATTGAATTTATGTACGACGAGTAAACCGCCTACCATCTATCACATGCCCCATCTGCAACATTATCCTAATTAAGTAACTTAGTTATGCTCATATACCAAAAAACGTATCTTCCTGAATTCCCTGAACCAGCCCCTTTTAATATGCTACAGTCATGTAATCATCATATAGATTATAATGAAGTAAGCTAGTTAAGTCCTACAACGGCCTAAATAGCAGCAAATCGAGCAGCGACGAATAATACATAGCGGTCACGCAAGCAGCAACGTTCCACCCGCTGCAACGCTCATAGAAATAAGAGTGCGGAGGCACAAATCAGGCCAAACCAAGCAAGGGATAAAAAGCTTCCACTCCCATGCGCGATCCGAGCCAAATCGGTGGGCAGGGACGGGGCATCGAAACAGGAAGGCCGGCCGGATTCGATCTCACCTTCTCCTCCTCTCGCTTGGGGTCGGCGCCGCGTGAGCCGGCGTGGAGGTCCACGTAGATGAGGAGCTCACGCGTCTGCCGCACCACGTCGGCCGGCGTCCGCGGCTTCGACTTGAAGAGGCCCTTCATCTTGGCGCCGTCGTCCGATGCCGATGCGGCGGTCACGCGCGGCGGCGATGGCAAGGGCGAGGCCGCGGGCCTTCTCCGCCCCGCCGACCCGAACGAGAAGCAGCCGCGGAACAGCGCCACGACTACCTCGGGATGCCCCTCCTAGGGCGCCCGCCTCCTCCTCCTCCGCTCGGGGACGGACGCGATCCGACGGGACGCGGCGGGGAGGCTAGGTTTTGCCGTCGAGAGGATGCCGGGCTCGCGATGGACTCGTCGCGCGGGGCGGTGTTGGCCAGGAGGGCCGAGATCGGAGATCCCTCTATGGCTCTATCCACCGGCCGGTACGGACGATGCGGGGGGTCGGTTGGGGGTGGTGGTGCGTTTCTCGACGCTTCTTTGCCCCGTCCGCTCCTCGCTGCCTCGTTTTCTCCTCCGCTTTTTTCTCTTTCCGGGTCTGCAGAAAATTGGGTGATCAACTTTGGACTCCGTGATCTTGCCGAACTTTTCGCCTAGGTGAGCCGCACGCGGTATGCTTTAAAATCCAATCCAAAACCTCTATGCAAATCAGTACTACTACAAACGTATTTGAATCGAGTCTATTTAAACCAGCAAGCCTATCCACTTATGTATTGCTGCATATATACAAATACTAAATGATAGGAGTATAAGCTAATAATTGAATTTAAGATTATAAACACGTCCATGCCAGCCGTCATCAATCAAATATGATAATAATGCAATAGTTTTAATGGCATGTGTGCATTTCACATCATTATGGCCTTTTTTCCCTCCATGCACGGGTGATTCTAGCATGGACCCCATGGAATTTGATGAGTAACATCGGCTACATTGCCACACCGTAGGAGCAACTCACAGCAGATGAAGAAAAATATTTTCGTCTTTGAACTTTAGAAAAAAAAGTTGAAGCAAAAAACTCTGTGCAGATGAAGTGCAAAGTGCTAACTACTTTTTTTAACACGGTACAGACGCAAGCACTCATATACACGTGCATATACTCACCCCTATGAATGCACACATGCACACCCTACCCCTATGAGCACCTTGTTGGAACTAAACACGACATGTGCGTGTGTCCGTGTAGGTTTCGTATTCATCACCTAGTAGGATTAGGAGTAGTAACCGAGTAAGTTAGCTAGCCAATCTTGCTACTATATATATGTTTGTATAGCCCCTTGTAAACACAACCAGAAAAGCAATACAAAGTTACGACAGGCTCGACACGAGCCTGTAGCCATCCAAATCGAGTCAAAGTATTCGTGTACCTTTGATTGATTGTATACGTATTGCGTTGGTGTCTCGGACGGCTAAAAGTACTAGTCCATCACGTCCAAGAAAGATCGATCAAGGACAAGGCTAGCTTTGTACTACGGTTCCACTCGGCGTAAAGTAAATGTTCAGTTCGTCAGCGAGCTTCGTTCGTCGTCGGTCGTCTTCAGTCGTTCGAAAGTACTCGACGTCGGCTCTGGGCCAACAATTGGTATCAGAGCAAGGTTGATCTTCTAGTAACGGAGGATCATGTCGGACGACGAGAAGACCAAGCAGTTGGCGGAGTACTCCGGTGCGGCTAAAGTAATTGCTGCTCCGGCGAGTTCGTCGTATCCACGGTTTGATCGCGAGAACTTCGGGGTCTGGAAGGCCCTCATGGAGTGTGGTCTCCGTGCCAATGAGCTATGGGACGTGGTGGATACCGAAGGCGACGCGTTCAAGAAGGAGGGAGCCGAGCACCGGAAGGATCGGCAGGCGGCGTGGCGATTTACTCGGTGATGCCGATGGATGTCCTCCAGCACCTAATCGCCAAAGCAACGGCAAAGGAGGTGTGGGATACGCTGAAGCTCATGTTCGAGGGACACACCCGTGTCAAGCAAGCCAATCTCCAAACTCTCCTAAGGAACTACGAGACTTTGGTCATGGGCGATGATGAGTCCGTGGATGCGTTCGCTTCACGGGTGGCTACTCTCGTCAATCAGATTCGCGCGCTTGGAGAAAACCTCACACAGGCCTCGGTTGTCCGGCGGTTCTTGCGCGCGGCCCTCCCCGGTACCTGCAAATTGTCATGGCGATCGAGCAGTGTGTCGATCTCGAGACCCTCTCCATTGATGATCTCGTCGGACGCTACAAGGCTCACGACGAGCGTATGCGGTACAGTCTTGGGGACGGGGGGAACAACGAGCTTGTGATGCTCACAAAGGCGCATTGGATCGCCCTTGAAAAGCAAGGCGGGTCCAAGAGCAGCAGCAAGAAGAAGGGAAAGCAGCGTTCGGCGAGAAAGAACTTCGCTGACTCGGACGACGACTTAGACAATGAGGCTGCACCACCACCGAGGAGAAAGTTTGACATCAGGAAAGTGAGGTGTTATAACTGTGGACTCCTCGGCCACTTCAAGGCTAGCTGCGAGGAAGCACCGAAGCAGAAGGCGCTGATGGCCTAGCAAGGAGATGATGGTGACATGATGTTGATGTGTAAACTGGTGGACGAGGAGGATCCAGACTATCAAGTGTTGACTAAAGAAATTGCCGAGCTTGTGGAAGAAAAGGTTTGCCATCATGATCATGGTTCGAAAACCTGTGTTGAAGCTACAGATACGGGGAGTGATTCCAAAACTTATGTCAATGCTATGGACGTAAGTGCCAACTTTGCTGGAACGGATGCGGCGATAGCTGCGTGTGCACGGCCATGGAGAAGCAGTCTTTGTGCGGCGCCTCCGCGAGAGGCCAGCTGTGGCCGAAAGAGCAATTCACAAAATCTGAAGATAGACGAAGACGTGGCGTTAGAAGTCCACGTCAGAAGGCGTCTCGATGTGGTCGTGTCAAAACATCACAAGGCAAATCGAGATGTGCGGCGAGTTACACTCGGACCAGACGAGTGTGCTGCCTACATGAAGCCAGCCGGTTCGGCTAGGAGCGCAGGCGTCATGAGTTGTAGCGCACCAGACAAGACTAGTCCAGGCACAACTGGAGGTGCTGCACGCAGTAGGTCGCTCGTGCAGTCGACCGACGCGAGCGTTGCATCGCGCAGTAGACCGGGCGAGTCAGCAGGAGGTGTGCATGTTGCGCCAAGTTCACCATTAGGCAGCCCACTCGGTGGAGGAGGTACATCCACGGGAGCCTTTGGAGGCTTTTCCAATAGGCTAGAAGGTGGGCACGGTCCAGGGAAAGGACACGCGTCAGAAGGTGCTGCAGTTGGACAAACAGAAGTTAGCCTAGTGGCTGGTGGTCAGGAAAGTAGTAGCCCAAGCGTTGCAGGTTCTTCTCTAGAGAGCAGTTTGGGTGTGGCCAAAATGCCAGAAAAGAGAAGTTTGGCAACTTCAAAAGATGTGCCGTCTCCTTCGACAGCACTGGAGACAGAAGAACGACCACATGAACCAGATGAAGCGCTTCAAATAAAATCGGTGAAGATGAAAAGTAAAGGGCAACGATGTTTGCACATCGAGGAACCGGAAAATTTTGAAGACGCAAATATGGAGGAGTATTGGCGTCAGGCTACGAAAGAGGAGTTGGGGTTGATCCACGACAACAATGCATGGAAGCTTGTGGATCTTCTCAACAATGAAAAAGCTATAAAGCTCAAGTGGGAATTTAAGATCAAGAAAGATGTCGAAGGATGTGTGAAGCACAAGTCGAGGCTAGTAGCCAAAGAGTATGTGCAAGAGAAAGGTGTGGACTTCGAAGAATTGTTCGTTCCCATTGCAAAGATGGAGTCGGTGAGATTACTCATCGCTCTCGCGGCTCAAGAATCATGGAAGGTACATCACTTGGATGTAAACTCCGCATTTTTGAATGGCGAGTTAGAAGGAGACGTTTATGTGAACCAACCACTGGGATTCATCAAAGAGGGAGAAGAACACAAGGTACTGAAGTTACACAAAATCTTGTATGAACTATGGCAAGGACCTCAGGAGTGGAACATCAAACTTGATCGGACATTGGTTTCTCTTGGATTTGAGAAAGCCCCACAAGAGCATGCAATGTACAAGAGAGGTGAAGGAAGGGATCGTCTACTAGTTGGCATCTACGTCGACGACCTATTAATTACCGGAGCAGATGAAGAGTTGATTGCAAAGTTCAAGCTACAGATGAAAGAGCTTTTCAAGATGGATGATCTCGGTTTTTTGAGCTACTACCCCGGGATAGAGGTACATCAAAAGACGGAGGGGATCACGCTATGCCAGGTGGCATATGCAAGGAAGATACTTGAAAACTATGGCATGAAATGTTGCAATCCAATTGACGCTCCAATGGAACCTCGTCTTGAGCTAAGCAAGAAGAGTAAAGTAACTGCCGTTGATGCAATCGAGTATATCACAGCGCCCGCTGCGGCGTGTCAAGGTGTGTGGCTAAGGAGGCTACACGGTGATCTCATGGATCGAGATCCGGAACAGGTGGTGCTCAATGTTGACGGCGAGTCTATAACTTTTCTATGCGAGGATCCAGTGTGGCATGAAAGGAGCAAGCACATTGATATGGTGTATCACTATATAAAGGACTACGTGGAAGAAGGTAAGATGAAGGTCAACTATGTTTGCAATGATGATCAACTGGCAGATATCCTAACCAAGGCTTTGGATCGAGAGAAGTTCTTGGAGATGACAAGAAGGATCGGCGTCGGAGCTGTAACGTAACGACGTCATGTTTAGGGGGGTGATTGTTGGAACTAAACACGACATGTGCGTGTGTCCGTGTAGGTTTCATATTCATCACCTAGTAGGATTAGGAGTAGTAACCGAGTAGGTTAGCTAGCCAATCTTGCTACTATATATATGTTTGTATAGCCCCTTGTAAACACAACCAGAAAAGCAATAGAAGTTACGACAGGCTCGACACGAGCCTGTAGCCATCCAAATCAAGTCAAAGTATTCGTGTACCTTTGATTGATTGTATACATACTGCGTTGGTGTCTCGGACGGCTAAAAGTACTACTCCATCACGTCCAGGAAAGATCGATCAAGGACAAGGCTAGCTTTGTACTACAGTTCCACTCGGCGTAAAGTAAATCGTCAAGTT